CGCTGGCGATTTTTTCACTGTTTACTGTTGTTAATTGCTGATGTTCATATTGTTTTTGCAGTTGATAAATAAAGTTCTAAAAATATTTGTTTCATTCCAAAAAATTAGTTTCTACCACGCCACTGAGGAATTTCCCGACTGGAGAGTGGAAAAAATGGGTTCTTGTAGCGGTATGGCAAAAAAAGTTTAATTTCTCAAATCATGTAAAGGTGATTCAATGATGATTCCATCGAAATAGGATCACTAACGAGTTTTTAGCTGATCAATCACAGATATGCGAACTTCAACAAATATGATCAATGACGAATTCGTAAAACTTTTCCGAACTTTATCGTATTCTGAAGATAAATTCGCAAGAATGAGTCGGTATAAGCGGATATGACTGTGTTGGAATGTTCTTCGCAGGTCCACAAAAAGTGCTCAAGATCAAGTGTTTTGACCGAAAAAAAACATCGTTTCGAAACATTCTTTAGCGACAAAAAGCAAACAATTGAACGTAATTATTGGTTGAATGAACTGTAAACAAAACATTGTTGTTTCATAATAATGAATAATTCCACTTGATGAGATGAGGTAATATTATCTCATATTGTATCACACTATGATGACTGCTAGAACTATTCACTGAAAATATACAAATAATAAAATTTCACAGTCTCATCCTAAAACTGCTCTCTGCTTAACTCGTCTCGTCTCNCTATGAGGCATCCAAAAAAGCGTCAATTTCGAAAATCTTTTGCTCATTTCGTTTGGTTCATTGAAAATGCGGTTACATTGTGATTTTGTTCAAGCGCTTAATTCATTTCAAGAAATCCTTCACACTTACTCTTAGCCTTCAACTGAGGAGTAGTTCAAAAATTGTTATACCGTATGAGTTCAACATTCTCCACATAAATTCATATTGACTCATTTATTCTATCTTGAATAAGTTGAGATTCGTTCTTATTCAGAAATGTTGAAGGTGTATGATAAATAACTTTCGTACAATGGTAAAACTGATCGAGTGGTAGATCACCGAAGAGTTAATAGTGATCAAATGACGATACTATTAATTCTCGACCAATTTTTTCAAATCCTTGAGCAGCCTTTCTTAATGGAATTGCTTCTTCATACAATTAGTTTGAATCTTCTCTCCAGGAGAACAATTCGCACAATGTCTGGAGTGTTGGTAGGATTTTCGGAGAGTCGACATTTTACAGTCGAGTACATTCCAAGAAAATGTTTTCAATTTTTCTGCGAAATTAGTTATTATACNGCAAGTTTTCATTTCATTCCTCCTGTTTATCTCAACTGTTGCTCACTGCGTTGAAAAATTGACAAAGTCGATGGTGTTATGACAGTTGCTTTGTTCTGAAGAATTAATCGCAACGCTATCAGTGGGATCTTGACAAACTCGATGGCTATCAATTGCTATTTCAAGTGAATGTTCGTGAAATGACCGAATTTCAGGTAAACGATGATGCGAAATCATATACGAATATTGGGGTTTCTGCTGATAACAATAGAATTTGTGGTGTTTGCTGAGCAATTGGTTGATGAGGATGAAGAAATTGAGAAATACAGACGAATATCGAGTCGCCTCAAAGAGCAACTGGCTGAAAAAGCTCGACAAACGGTGGTGGATTTCGAACAAGTGATCAAAGCCGAAGAATCAGCTCGTGAGTGTCTTGGAATGATGTGAGTAAATATCATTTTTTCGCTGTTGTGTCTTCTTGACATAAAATATTTCACGACCGCACATTGCTCAGAATTTAGTACTAGTGAAAGTGAAATTGTCCTTTCGAACGTAAACAAATCCGATGGTTTTCGTACGAAATCAGTTACGAAATGTGAAATATTTTACTGAAACTTTGCACGAGGACAACTGAATGCAATGGAGGCGTTGTTAAGTTGTTCGTGACATAATGAGTTACTGTAATTTTAGATGCAAAACGAATAATATATTCATATATTATCAGTGTTGTCAGGGTACACCCGGTGAATGCTGTTGGCACATGCGATATTGGCTGACGTTAGTTCATT